CAGCCCTCATGGGAAAGAGTCTGTGCTCTCCCTCTCCAGGAAAAGCCCCCCTACCCTTCCCAAATACTCCAGGTTGGAAAAAGAAAGGGCCACCCCATTTTAGGACACTCGTTTAGAGCCTGGAGTAGGAGTTAAGGAACTGCACCTTTTCTCTGGGCAAGGGGAGAGAGAGCCCCCTGAGGTGGGGAAGGGGATACTGCAGGAAGGTTGTCATCCCCCCATGCACCCACAGCATGTAGGTAAAAACCTACCGCTGAGGCTTAAGGGAGTCTCAGGAGCTGGTTGGAATGCTACCACCAAAGAAACCCCAAACATTGAGCAAAGGCATCTGAAAGGAGGGAGGCAGCGCCCACTGGAGGCAAGATACATCCGCAGTGGTGAGCCCCTCTGTCCCGCCCCTCCCCTGGGCTCAGAGCCCTTCCTCCCACTGTGTGGCCCCTGCCTCTCAGCGGATGTAGACGCCCCGCCCCCAACCCTGCAGCTCATTCTTGTTGCGTCCCAGGACTGGACCCCCGCCCTCTGCGTAATAGCGTGCCTTATTCAGGCCGCGGTTCCGGTTGTTGGTCAGCTCCTCTTCATAGTCTTCCTCATCCTCCCAGGATCCCTGTCGGGCTGGTGGGGTGCTGCCCCCTGGGGCAGGGTCTCCAAGCCCTGGCCCCTCGGAGGGGTCAGTCTCCATGTCCACACACGAGTCTCCCAGCTCCATGTAGGCAGAGTTTCGGTTGCCAGGGGCGTCGGCATCAAACGTGTCTTGGTGGGACAGTGCCCGCAGGGTGCCCGCCCGGCCTGGCGGCTGGCTGCTGGGGTAAAGGCCTGGGGGCTGGCCCAGCTCTCCCGGGTACTCGTGCACGCTGGCGTGCTCCCCGGTGGCCCGTTCCAGCGACTGGTCCCCGGAAGCAAGGTATGGTCCCTGGTTAGCGGGCAGACGGCACACACCATGCAGATCAGGCAGGAGTGAGAGAAACACAACAAAGCAAGGCAGGTTAGTGAGGGCACCAAGACACCCAGCCTGGCTGAAGGAGAGGAGGGTGCTGACCCTAGGGGATGGGCAGCCGGCAAACGGCTCTGGAGCCCAGACAGAGAGCCAGAGGACAGAATTCAAGGCATTTGCTCCTCCACTAGGAGAGGGGGCACCAGACCTTCCTAAGGTGGGTGAAGGCATGAACTCTCCTGGTAACCATGGTAGAGAGCCCACGAACAATTAGTCATCAATTCCTCAAGGCACATATTAATGCCGTCTTGGGCTAAATCATCATTAACAGCTCATTAGTATTGCCACTCGTTAGTGGTTGATTGGGTTAGTCATTGCCCCCGTTTCCCAAATATACTAAGGGAGGATTTCAGCAAGCTCCTTCAGCCCAACCAGACCCTAATCACAGGCTTCCGGAACCCCACACTTCCCCCCACCCCATTGCCTAGTCAGATGACAGAGTCTCCAAGGTTGATAGGATTCCTCCCCTGCCCCCAACAAAGACTCAAAGCTGCAGGCTGGGGAAGGCTGATGGGTCTCTATCCGCCACTGGCAACAGTGAGATGGCCAAATGTCCTCAGCACCAAATGCCACATGAAGATGGCCATAGAGGCTGCTGGGTAGAGTGCAAAGAGACCTGGGCTCTAGCCCCATTCCCTGCTACTTCAAGCTGTGTGACCCTGAGCAAGTGACTCCCGTCTCAGTGGCCCAGTGTCTCTGTGGTTGTGTGATGGGGATTAGACTAGAGCAGCAATTTCCAAACTATTCCCTGGAGATCTGGGATGGGTGGACAGGGCACAGAATGCTTCAGGGGTCCCCGTGGAAGTGAAATGGAGGCCAAGCCACTAGCTCCCTCTGAGCAGAGCAAGGATGCCTTGTCTACATACTGAGCTTCCACGTAAGATTCAGTGAACAAATGGGCTCTGGTGCTGAAAACAAATTTGAAAAGCAATGGTCTAGAATGATTTCATGGGTTTCTTCTGGTTCTAATCTGGAACCCAATACTTAATGGTTTGACCTCAGAGAGAGGCCTTGGCTCCCATGGGAGGAGATCAAGGCAGGGTGGGAGCCCACAGGAGGGTCTTTCCTGGAATCTGTTTAACTGGGAGAAGGATGGGAAGGTTCAACTCATGGAAGATGCTTCACTTTGGGTCCCTACTGAGAAGTCTCCTGAGATTAGGGCTCTGGAGGAGGGGGCAGTGTCTCTGGTTTGAACGGCCCTGCTCTGTGGGATTCCCTGCGTCTCAGGGCCCTTGGTCTGTTGCATCTAAAATGCTGTGACCTCTGTTGGGTCTAAAATGGGTGTAGAGTCCAGCAGACATATATTGATTTTCCTCTGTTTCTTCCTAGTCACTTATCCTACAAGGCCCCCAGGGCAAAAGCTCCCAGGGCAGCAGATATGGTCCTATGGGACCAGGCCCAGGGAGGTCCCACCAGCCAGCCCCAATCCCATCAAAAACCACAGACACCAGAAGCTGCCACTCACCACATTTTTTACAAAATAAAATTCTTCCCTTCCTTGCCCATGTTCACTGTGCTCAGTTCCTCAGTTCCGAGCCCTGGGCGGGAGGGGACATGGGCGGGGCACCTACACGGTGTGCTCCTGCTGCTGGGGCACCGCCCTGGCCCTCTGAGAGGCCTCCAGCCCTCCCCAGAAGCTGAGATTTCTCCGGAGTGAGGTGAGCACCTGTACCTGGAGGTTGGAGACAGGGGCAGGGCTGGCAGCGAGGGCTGCGGTAGCCATGGTGCGGTTCAG